CCCATTGTATATTTTCTGCAACAATTTGGTTTGTCAATTGTGTTGATAAAATATTATTGTGTTCTCTGATTGTATATAGTTATATATAGTATAGTATAGTTATATATAGTATAATATAGTATAATATAACTACTGAAATAAATTAGTTGTAAGAGTATATTGAAGGACATGGAAATTACTTTGATTAAATCTACAATTTTGAAGAAATTACATGTAATTAAAATTTGATTGTATAATACGACATTTGATGTACATTAATTTAATATATTTGTCTGTAGTCTGTAGAAATACGTGTATCTATATATTATATTATATTAATTAATAATTAAATAATATAATATAATATTATATATAATATTATAATATTATATTTTATTATATTATTATATTAATAAAATATAATATATAGATACATGCATTTCTACAGACAAATATATTAGATTAATGTACATCAAATGTCATATTATACAATCAAACTTTAATTACATGTAATTTCTTCAAAATTGTAGATTTAATCAAAGTAATTTTCATGTCCTTCAGTATACTTTTACAACTAATTTATTTCAATATTTTGGATTTGTAAGAATTATCATCAATTTTCAGTATTATTAGATTTCAAAAAGTCTTATTTTACTTTAATGTAATTTATAAATAAAAAAGATTGTACAGACGAAATAAAAATATATTTTACCTTCTCTAAGTGCTAAATTTACGTTTCAAGACATTTTTTTCTAAATTTCTAAATTGTAATAATAAAGTTTCATACATTTGTTACGAATTTTCTTGATATTAATTCGTGCATGGTAAATTTCTCGTTCTTCGATATAGTAATTAAAATTATTAAATGAAAAGAATCTGGCATCCATCTTCCCTTAGTCACAATGAAAATAATTCTGAGTTTGTTCGAACAAATTGTTTCTACTACTAATCGTCGGAATTAGTGCAAGGAAACATGGAGGATAGTTGTGGATTAACATTAAAGTTTCTTTTTGGCTACTTTCGCGTTGTCATTATGTTATGAATGCAAATTGAAAGTCAAAGGAGTGAGAATAAATGGCACAGTGGATAGACGCGACTAGTAATTCTTCGAATTAATCTCGCGCGAATAAAACGAAGAGACTTTGTGATAAATCGAACGCGTCGTGACAAGTGCGATGACTTACAGACTCGTTAAGGTAACGAGTTGCGTCCGTGCATCACGTAGCACAATTAAAGCGCGCGTGTGCACGCTATCAGCGTCGTATACAATTCGACCGCGATGACGTTCAGGCATCATCATCGCTTTATCCTTGATTAATTAGTTCTTTAATTAATCAAACGGCTCGACGTGACGATAATTACGTGATTGCAGTTACTTTTGTTCGCCGGCCTAGCGAAACCGACGTTGATTCATAAATAAAACTCAATCTATAAGTGAAATTTGAACGTGTAGGAAATATGTGAAGATTCTTGGGAATATTGGCGATTCAAATGGATTTTGAATTTCTCTTTTGTACGACCGTGTACTTGGAGAATTGTTTGGAGATATTTCACTTTTAATAGAAAGAAAAAAAAAAAAGAAAAAAAGAAAAACAGTTTGGCAATTGAAGAGTTAAAAAAAGCTTTGGAATTTTTCACAAATGTATAGTTAATAGTGACGCTAATAACAGAATAATTTTCTTTCTTTTTTCTTTGCTGAGAAACGGGGATGAAAATAAATATCTCAGAAACTTCGACTTTTCATGTTTTGCACACGGAAAGTTCAATTTCAAAGTTGTATCGTTTCTTACAGTTATATTAATCATACTTTAATCATCAAATAATATAGTTTATAATTGTACTTTAATTATCAAGTGTGATTATTGCGTAGATCACAGTTTGTGTATCAATATTCACGTATACAATTTCAGCAGTAGTCAGAAATCAGTCCAGTGGTTATTCCTCTGATTTTCAAATACCAGGAAGTGCGTCGAAAGAAGTCTTTGTTACACGCGAGATACTTAAATTTCGCGGGAAATTTTTTGGCAGGATCGATCGTTTACGTAACGAGAGATCGCGTCCACCGCAAAACATAATATTATGTTACGTTGCAGACGTGGACGCAGCGGAGCGTCAGTTGAACTCGTTCCTTCTCTCAATTCATGAATATTCCTCGTTATAACCTACAAAGGCGTCTCATCGTATTAGAAATGCAAAGGTCGTCTTGTTAATGAGGTCTGAACTTCCAACTCTTCAAATTCCTTCAGTACAATCCTTCCTTCTAATTAAAGAAGTCGTGCCCCCCCCCCCCCTATGCCAGTTTAGTATCGCCATTTAATAGACGAAGATCGTTTTCCCAAATAATATCCACGAGCACGATCGCGTCGAGTAAAATTCGGACGAGCCTCTGTAAAATCATCGTCACCCTTTTCTTCTACGTGCTGCATTATACCAGTTTCTCAAACAAAATTTCTTCGTATAGCTGCTCGTTATAGCTTCGATTCGAAACGAAATGCCAATTGCAAAGCTACGAGAATTTCAGTCGGAATTTCTTCAAAGCGAACATCGATAAACAAAAATTGTATACAATGTTTCAAGTATAATATGTACAACAGTAATGATTTATTGATTCCTTAGGCCCAGAAATAAACTTGGCTTACAGAAATAGTATATTATTAGTATATTTCTATACCCTTACTACATAAATACTACACTTACTTATTATAAATAGTATATTATTAATATATTTCTACACTATATAAATACTACACTTACTTATTATAAATAGTATTATAAACTTATTATAAATAGTATTATAAATACTACACTTACTTGTTATAAATAGTATATTATTAATATATTTCTACACTATATAAATACTACATTTACCTATTATAAATAGTATTTATACACTTACTTATTATAATAGTATTATGAACTTATTATAAATACTACACTTACTTATATATTACTTATATATTATATTATATTATATTATATTATATTATATTATTAATATATTTCTACACACTTACATCCTCCATGCTTTAACTTACAGCTAATTACAAAAGTATTATATATATATAATACACTATAACAAGTACTATAGTTATAGTATACTAGTATAGAATGATACTTTGTATCTAAAATAATATTACAATTTCGAGAGACGATGCATACGATTACGAAAAATGGAATCGTAACGCAAGGGGTCGAACCTCCGCAATCAACCCTTCATCGTGAAAATGATCAAATCAAATCAAATCAAATCAACCGTACTCCCAGCTACTTGTTCGATGATCATTCTGACGAAGCGTGCATCGGTTTCTGCGTGTGACGGTTTCTCGAAACGGTTAAATAACGAAGCGAACAATGGCGGGCCGAAGAAATGGCGGGTTAACGAGGTCGTATCGCGAGTCCGGCAGTCCGTCTGTTGCCCGAGCGTTATCGCAAAACACGTGTACCCGATACCTGAGCAGCCTAACAATCGTTTCCCATGGTGTATAGAAGCGGACGGCACGGCCCCGTTAACCGGGGCCCCGACACCTCGAAAAAGTAGCCCCAAAATACGCGGAACCGTCGCAGGCCGGCCTGCCTCGCCTCTCTCGTGCATACTTCACTTCCTCTTGGCCCGTTCCTGGGGGCGACCATATGTCGACCGCGAATCAGGATGCCGACGGGTGGTTTTTCGTCTCGCGGGATGGCCCGGTATCTCTTGTTTTGCCCTTGGTTGAGGCCAAAACTCGCCGCCAACTTGGTTCCCCGAAATTTGTCGCTTCTGCGTAGCGAGAATGACTTGTCAAGTGGCTGAAGTTTCTAACTTACGAAGTTTCTAACGTACGTTGTTGTTGTTGTTGTTGTTGTTGTTTTTTTTTAAAATAGGTGTTTAGTCTTTTTAGATTTGTATCATTCGGGTGGATCACTTTAGAAGCAATTACAAAGCGTCGATAAATTGTCTGCAGAAGTTGTCTCCTGTTTGCATTGTAATGGGAAATAAAATACTAACTTATGAAGTTTCTAACGTACGTTGTTGTTGTTTTTTTTAAATAGGTGTTTAGTCTTTTTAGATTTATATCATTCGGGTGGATCACTTTAGAAGCAATTACAAAGCGTCGATAAATTGTCTGCAGAAGTTGTCTCCTGTTTGCATTGTAATGGGAAATAAAATACAAACTGCTGGGGCTGAATTATAAGTTCGTGAGTTTCTTTCATGTGCCATACGTTTACTCGTATTGATCTTTAAGACGAGTAAAGTTATTCAATTGTTCTGCGTGGCGTTCAATGATTCTTTAGCTGTTGCAGTGTTTTTTGTTTTTATCGTACGATGTTAATCGAACATTGGAAGTTTTGACAAAGAAAACGCACAAATTTATGACTCGTCCTAGTAATATTCTTCATTCAACTGTCTTTGGACTTGTATTTGTTAATTGCGAATTACAAGCTATTGTTTAATGCATACAATGTTGGCTACTCGTCTAATAATAAAAGCATTATTTCCTCTTTGAAATTCATTTTAATACCAAAATGATTCGTCTACGTTAGACATTAAGTTACCAACAGAAGTAAGTTTTCAACAGTTGTCGCAACACATTTGCCTAATTTGAACAGACCACGTCACAACCACATAATAATGGTTTTACTCGCGGTCAATCGCACACGTCCGTATCTACGATGACAAGCAATTAGCTTAATACTAAAATGAATTTCGAATGAAAACTATAGTAATTGTACAAACTGACTTCCGTACATTTATGTAAAATCTAAAGATACAGAAACGCAGAGAATGCACGCAATTTACAAAACAATAAAACATCGGAAATATTCGTTGCAAAATTTTCCAATTTTCAAATCGGGTACGAACTTTCTCTATGAACTTAGCACATAAAATAATTTTTATCTGCGCTCCATTTCTTTATTTATTTATTTTTTTTTTTAATGAATCTGCAAGAAGAATCCGCAAAATCTAGCGATGTAGTTCTAAAGTGATCTATTTGAATCGGATAAGACAATAGCTCATTTCATTTCTTTCTTTTTTTTTTCAGGCTCGAGTTTCGGAGTGTGGGGTCGCAGAATGAGCAAGAAGATAGACTCGTTCCGGCGGGCTGGTTCCCGCGAAACGATCTGCTCCATTTCCGAGAGATCGGACCAAGGAAACGCCGGCAACAACACTAACAATCTCGCCGGAACCGGCAACAACAACGTCGCCTCGAAAATGGACAAGCCAGTGGCTGAATCGAAGTTCGACAGCAAGCCAGAAAAGAGAACACCGGGAACGTTTCACCGAGCTCCCTCGCCATTCAAATCCTTCTTCATCCGCATGGGTTCCACGGGGATGTTGAACTCGGCCAGGAGCAACCGGCGATCGCAAAACGTCGACGACAGGCTAAAGACCAGCGAGAAGGAGACTCTGTTCAGAAGTTGCAGCACGAGCCAATTGAACACCAGCCCGACTTACGTGAAGGGCGACGATCCTTCGGAAGGGATCGACCTGCAGATCTCGAGTCGCAAGGACAAGACCGTGTCTTGCGACAATCTGGCCGGTCGACAGAGCGACGATGCGTTCGACGAGCACGTGGGCGACGCTTCCGCTGTCCTGTACCCCGCGTCGATCACCAGTTTCAGCCCGTGCGACTTCGGACAGTCGCGAAACGAGTCACCGATGCGCAAGAGCAGCAGCTGCGACTTCAAGGAGGCGAAGAAATCCAGTTTTCCGTACGCTTTCCTGCGATCGAAGCTCTCCGTGCTGCCGGAGGAACGTCATGGCACATTCGCCGCGAAGGACGAACGGCTGTTCAAAACCGCGTCCGAGGAGCACTTCCCCGCCTTGAAAATCGAGGAAACGTACACGGGAACGACGACGCTGGGACGACGACGAACCAGGAACGGAAATTTGCCGAGCAGAGGAAGCGCGAGCAAGTCTCAGGAGCAGCCGACTGCGTCCGTCCCGAAATCGTCCGGACGAAGCTCGTACGCGGAGTTTCGAAAGAGCTCCTCGGCCAGATGTCCGGGCGAGGACAGATACGCTCTGACATCCGGCCACTTGGAGAGGATCGACGACAACTTCCAGCAGGAAGACGCGGGTTGCTACAGCCCGTACGACAGCAGCCCGATGTCGCTGCGCGGCAATGCGAGTGTTCAACACCCGACCACGACGCTAGAGGGTGGACAGGACAGGGTGGACTTTGCAGGAAGGATCAACGAGTCGAGATTCTCCGAGACGTCCTCCTTGAACGTGGACTTGGACATGGTGGCCACACTGAGGAATCATCGGCGGAACTCGGCGCCAAGCGGCGAGCAGAGACTCTCCTCTCACTACGTCAGCTCGAACGAGTCTGGCTACGACAGCGATGGCCCAAGGGGAGAATCCGCTGCCGCTTCGGAGAACGAGGGCGTGAGCTTGAAGTGCACGGACAGTTCGGACACGAGCAGCGTAATCGACTCGGAACTGGAGAAGCCGATACGAAGCTCGACGCCGAGCGAGTGCCAAGAGCAAGAAAGCAGCAACGACACGAGGATGAGGAAAAACGACGAGACGACGGCGGACGTCTCGGTGAGAGCAGGCGCCACCGAGTTGAACGATGGCATAGATGGGCTCAGGTGGCATCAGAGCAATTCGGGACGGTTGCTGCCGAGCATACACCAGACGTACGACGACGCGGCGATGAGCTCTCAGTTCCCAATGTGCGGAAACAACGGGCTGAGAGCGTTGCAGGGCGCGTCGAAGTCGCTGGACATCTCACCGCATCGAATGAGACTGCAGCAGGACAAGAGCAGGTTCCTCAGCGACATTATACAACCGCCGAAGAGAGTGAGAAGATGCAGGCTGGTTCAGCTGCACAAGAGAGACCCGAAGGAAAGTTTGGGCATCCGGCTGGCGCAACAACGCCTAGGCGAGTTGCGTTACATCGTCGTTCAGTTGGAGAGCGACGGGATAGCGCATAGGTGAGTTTGAACGTTGTGCGAGGCAGTTTGGTGAAGTAAAATTTTGTTAGGAAGCACGTAGTGAGAGATTTTATACAATTCCATGTGATGTTTTTTTTTTTTTTCATCTACGAGTCTCTAGAATTTTTCAACAATCTTTTCGTTCTTAACACTGGAACTATCGATAGTAGTCAAAAGTATTTTAAATACTCGAGTGATTTTTAGTAAAACGTATTAATGGAAGCTTGTGCTTTTCCTTGTATTGTTAATTCTTTCCTGTATCTTGCACTTGGATTTCTTTGCTGCAAATATTATACTTTAGTCGTCTAATATAAAACCTATAAATGTTTCACTTTGTTGCAAGTTTCACTGCACTATCACACGGATTCTAGTGAAATTCACTGTTAACAGAGACGGAAGATTAAGGCTCGGCGATGAAATCGTCGAGGTGGAGGGCAAAGAGCTGAAGACGCTGGAGAACCTGGAGGAGGTGCAGGAGTTTCTCAGATCGTTCACCGGCAACAAGATTCGCCTGATGACCGCGTACGAGGAGACGGTGCCGCAGGTGTACGTCAGCCCGCCGACTTTACCCGGCGAATACGAGTACCTGGAGAACGCGAAGAACCTCTCCGATCTGTCGTTGATCGACGAAAACGGAGCCAAGCAGACCGTTGGTTCGCAGTCGGATCAAACATCGAGCAAACCCGGCGCGGACGAGGGCGTTCAGTCGACGAAGAGGCCAGACTTTCTGCCGCTCTCCTGCATGTCGAAGGAGCGAAAAGCCGCGGAAAGTACCTTGGACTCGGCGATGGAACCGCAGCATTATCTGACCAGGCATATCGCCAAGTTCGAGAAGGGTTACGGCAAGCCTAGCCTCGGTTTCAGCGTGGTGGGCGGCAGGGACAGCCCTCGCGGTGAAATGGGTATCTTCGTGAGGAGGGTTTTCCCCGGTGGCCAGGCTGACGTCTCCAAGTCGCTGTTCCAAGGTAAGACAAAGTAGCTCAACGAGGTCGGAATCGGCGATTATATCGATCGCGTTACACGTGCGTACGTACGCGACTTGTTCGAGAATCGTGGAACTTTCTTTCGAAGTTTGCATCGCGACGACTGGAATGTTTTGCATCATCAGACGGATGAAATTGATTATTAACATTAACTTAAACAATACAGTTAAATCAACTGAATCATCAAGTTAAATTATATTACTAAACAATAACGAAATTATACTGTTACTTGATAATATTTATTATCACAATTTTCGACAGTTTTTCTAACATTTCATCGCGATCGGTTGAAATTAATGACGGAGGCTGAAATGAATTTGATGAATTGAAACAAACAAATAGACAAATGAGAATCATTGATTTTGCACGTTTTCCTAACTCCTTGTCTAACTCCTTGCATCTATCACAAAACCATCCGCGATCGACAACGGTCAGACGTGTCGATCGCACTAACAGTTTCGATAGTTTCTCGAGGATCTATCGCGAGCTTCTCGACATTCCTTTTACGGGCTGGAGCGCGCGGCGGCGTGCAATCTCTCACGTTACCATTCCTTCGCGACAGTGACGCAACGGATCGCAGATTCCTCGGACGCGGATCGCGCAAGGATTTCGCTCCATCGACGAAATAGTTGGCTGTTTCAGGATCGACGGTGTGGCTCGAGCGTGTCGACGTGTCACGTACATAGCAACTTATGTTGCCCGCTCGTTTCTTCGTTGCATTCACGCCATGGACGCGTCGGACACACCACGAATCTTTAATCCGACGCTTGACGTCGCGTGCATTTCTAAACAGTCTCTCGCCCTTTCTCGTCTCCGGCCCCTTCGCCTTTCCTTCGTTGTTCTGTTCTCTCCTCTCGCCTCCTGCCAACCTCCTTTCTTCACCCGCCTTCTTCTTCGGCAGCCAGTGCCACTGGATTTCGCTCGGCAAACCTCGTCAGCTTTGTGTCAACTCGGGGGTCCTTTCCGTTGCTCTCTTCGAGCGAGCTAAATGGGACTCGGGCAGCGTGCGGGTTACGTCCGTTTTGTAGAAAACAGGCCTGCCAGTTGGATCGATTCGGAGATTCCGACGCAGTCAGGGATTTTAATGAAGATCGGAGACGTGAACGCGGAACGAGCTCGTGCTCGCCAGTGGTTTCTCTTCGAGTCATTTCGACTGGATCGCAAAAGTATTCGGAATCTCAAGTATTACAACTCTGTTGTCATGCTACCTTGTACAGTGATTTTGTACTGAATCCATTTTGACTCATTTTAATTTTGTACTGAATCCATTTCGACTCATTTTAATTTTGTACTGAATCCATTTTGACTCATTTTAATTTTGTACTGAATCCATTTTGACTCATTTTAATTTTGTACTCGTTTTAAAACGTGAAGTCTCTATTTTGACAGTTCTTTTTAAAGCTATAATAATAATAATAGTAATAATATCTCTGATATTATCATCGAAAAGAATTATCTTTGAAAAGAACTGTCAAAAATATTGTTAATATTATTATTATTAAAATAATATTATTATTATTGAGATATTTTAATAAGAATATCGTGTAGCGAATAGGGGGATAATTGTAAGAATCCAAACTTCCGTGAAAATCGCAGAAAAATTTTCTTCGTGATCGAACTCATGGAAATCAAAGTTTCACCTTTAAAACAACTCTTTCTTGTTTTTCTTGTTATTTTATATGAAACTTTGAGCTGAATGTTCTGCTAGTTGTTAAACGTCACTACGTTAGAATGTGTTTCCTTCGATTCAGAAAAAATCTTGCTCCAGTAATACAGAGGATAAGGAGAATTGGAAGAATTACTTAATCGTTACTTCCAAAAGAAAGTACCGATCAAAACTGAAACTAAATTAAAGAAAGGTAGGTCTGAATTGATTTTCTCAAATCAAGTAGAAACATGAAACAACGAAGGAATTGAACGTTGAAAATTGTGAATGATCCCAATTCGACGATCATTAAATCCCAATTCATCGATCTGGCAATCAATCGCTGTCGATACGACCAAATCTAAACACAATAAAATTCCATTTTCCGTAAAATGTTATTAAATTCAATCAAATGTAAGAAGGAAGCATAAAGCTTCGAGGAAATTTCCTCGAGGAAGGTGAGAAGAGTGGCGCGTCGTCAACGTCGAGTCGAATTTCGCGGACACGCGTGTCGTCGTCGTCGTCGTCGTCGTCGTCTCCTACGCTAATTTTTGCCAAGCCGCCGTCGCGGTAGGCGACAACACGTTCTACAGACAGGTTTCACGCAAGCGCGTTTCGAGTTTCAACCGATCACGAACACTTTTTTCCTGGGAGCACGCGAACGTCCGTGGTTTCCTCGTGCCGCTGCACCCTGCCGCATGCTTGCATAACGGAACGGCGGTCGTGTCGGTTGCATAAGCGCAGGATCGATGCATCGCCGACTGTTGCCAAAAGGCCTAAAAGAGCTCCATGTTCCAGTCGAACGAAATTTTCTGTCTTCGGATCGATTCTCGAACGTCGGATCGTTTTGCTACAAATCTGCACACACGGCGGTGATTTTACTTACAATAGATGAGATTTTATTTACAATAGTACGCACGAGTATTGGTATTTATTAAATTCTGGAATTGCGCTTGGTTTGCAACATCATTTAACTAACCATTCGCATCCTCTTTCATTGTTTCTTACTTGGGTGGTCTGACATTTTTATTTACATCTTTGTTCAATTATTTGTTTGTTCAATTATCTGACTCGTGCTTCCTGTTTTCTAAATCTAGTATATATATATATATATCATCCTTTCTGTTATTTTCTTTTTTATTTTCTCTCCATTTTTGCCTTTATTTTTTTTTTTTTTTTTTTTATTCAGTACGTTATTTAATGATATATCCATTTGTTGGGTTTACATGTCTCCGGGAGCGAATTATCATGCAAAATTTTTGTCTTGTCGAATGTTTTAGCGTTTTTAAGTTATTCTAGTATATAATATAATTGAGGAGAGAAACGTATTCGCGAATATTATTGTTACACTTTATATTATTAGTTTCACTAATATACATTCGTTTTATAATCTCACAATTGTTCTCCTTCAATACTCCAATGACTTCGTCACCGCTGTTCAAGAGTTAAACGATAGCTTGAACACACGAAAAGTGAAAGGAGTATAAGTGTTTGACCAGCACGATGCTCAAATTCTTGTTGTAGGTGACGAAATTGTAAGTTTAAATGGAAAGGTACTGCGTGGCTACACACATCAAGAGGTAATCGAATTGTTCAAAGCAGTGAGAGAGGGTCCTGTCGAGTTGGAAATCACAAGGAGACACAGGTATCCGTCAAAATTACTAATCCACACCCACATTGTTCTAAATTCATTTTTAATAGCTAATTTAGTGAGTCTACGAGCTTATAAAATAAACTGTTCTACGAAGAGTGTAACATATTTCTTTCAGGTATCCAAAAAGCACGCAAAAATCGGCGCCGTGCTGAGAAGGAGGCAACAATGTGGACGAGTCTGCCCACCGGAAGTGCTCTTTTTCGATTCAATTCTAAGCGACGCAACTCTCGCCGCATACGAAGTTTTAGGATTCTAGTCTATCAGAACGAATCTTTGATCTTTGATGTTTGTTTCAATTAATTTATTTACCGCAGTTGCGTGGGGATTAAATTCATTATCAAACGATCATTATTATTATTATTATTATTATTATTATTTTTATTATTATTGATTATTATTGACGATTATTATTATACAATTTTTATTATTATATTACATTACATTATAGTATATTATATTATTATCATGACTATAAGATTTTATACAGATTCGTTAGAATAGCGTGAATTTATTGTATGCAACTTTTTATTATTATTATTATTATTATTATTTTTATTATCATTATTATTATTATTAGTTTTAGTATTATAGAGAACAATAAAGAGGTCGTAATTTTAAGGTGCTTGAGGATGTGTTTTGCGTAAATATAATAGTGTACAACGATCGACAAAGTAATTTCTCAACGATTATTAAATAACAACTTTATTTCCATGATAGTTTACAAATTTACAAATATGTACAGATACCGAGTTCATTTTTACAATGGTCGCGGATGTGTCTCGTTCTCGTTTTTACAATCTCATCTCGTACAGCTTCTCTTCACGCGTCGCCGAGCAAAAGGTCTGCGCACGACTTAGCCTTCGTTGCCCTGAAAAATATCACGTCGAGTGATCCATTTATATTTTGAAATACTATTTTCAGTCCCGAAGTGTACTACATCTTCCACGATTAATGAATTAATATACATCGTGCTGATTGTGGAAGAATTTAGGCTCGGTCATTATCGTTAAATAATCGCCAGGATCGCTGTATGATAAAACCATTTCGTATTTCTGCGACATTTAGCGAGAAAATGTATATTTATAAAAAAAAAAAAGACAGTATTTTGAAGACTTATGAAGAAAAAATAAAAAAAAAATAAAAGTGTTACATGAATGATGTTATAAGTGCTCACGAAAATATTCGAACACTTAAGGGGAATCTTTACGAATAGATTATGCGTATTGCACGAAACATTTCGGAGTTTCATTAACATTCTAGTGAGACCCAACTATCATGATTATATTGGTCAACTTTGAAACACGTTTGAAAGTATACACAGAAGTTGCAAAATATTTATAAACATATATTTCCTAGAGATCACAAAAGTGTTTAAACAGTCACATTAATAAACTAGATTATGACATTCAATAGAGTCATCTTCAACACTTGTTATATGCTTGAACTAGCTATTCATGCTGTGTAGTAATATTTTACTGGATATATGTTTGCAATAAATATCTTGTAACCTCTTTATACATCGCGAAATTAAATCACGCCAATATAATTATAGCCCTTTCTCAGTGCAATATTAATGAAATTTCAAAATATTTTATATAACACGCATATAAAATACGTGTACGTATATATTTTCGTGAGTCACTGACTTCAAGAAGATACTTCTTGTTCTCGGATGCGAAAGAATCGAAGAATCATGCATTTTCTTGGCATTAGAATTTAATTGTAATTCCAAGTTCTTCCGAAACGTTGTTTGAAACAAAACCTTAAAATAAATTATGAAATAATAATCGAAACCCATTTTTACATAATCAGCATAATCTGTAAAGACAGAAATATCTATGCCCGTTAACTTTATCAATTTCCTTTTTTTTCTCTTCTTTTTCACACGATCAACTAATTAATACTAATACAATGTTAATGTTGATGCATTAACGTTAATAATGAATCTACCAATAATGCATTAACACTGGAGGACATCTGACAAACAATCGTAAGAAGCTGCGCGCAACAGTGCAAGCACTGTCATACTCACTGTAGTTCCTTGTTTTTAACGCGTCTGCAAAGATGCAAGGCAACCGGTCCAGTTTTGATGTTGCGAAATAGCTGAACGGCTTTTCTGTGGGTCAAGTCGTGACAGACGTGGCCATTCACTGCCAATATCTCGTCACCTGCGTGCAAACGGCCATCTTCCGCGGCTTGCCCTCCCGGCAATACCGATTTTATAAAGATACCTGTGGCAAACGTATTGTACGATGACATTAATAAAACGACGATGATTATAAGAACGCGACGAGCGATGGAGACATTGAATTATTTACTCGCAGACAATACTGGTAAATTACGAACGAACGCGAAACTCGATTACTGTTAATATGATAAAATGTAATGGCACTTTTTATAATTCATAAGTAAAATTCATTGAGGAAAATTTAATATTTCCGTTTTCGTGTATCTCTGCGGGGAGACCTAAACTTGCTCAAAATTGTAAAAATGATCAAAGAACTTGGTCCATGAACTGAACTACTATTCGAGCGTCGGTGCATGTTTCCTTCTTGTGAAAAATTACAAATGCCTCTACGAATTTCACACTTCTGTCGACAGTTTTTAAAGAAGAATGTGTATTTTGCGAAGATAATTGATCTTTTGCATTTTTATCCATTACTTTTAAACAGTAAAGTAAAGCATGAAAATTCGAATCACTATCGATTTCCTAATCTTCCACCCACATGTTCGTGAAACATATTAATTAAAAACAAAATAATGATAATAATAACAATAATAATAATAGAAAAAATAACAAGAATAATAATAATGAAAGAAGAACATTCGATCTAAAATCACTAGGATTTTGAACTAGCTCGTGATTGTTCCTCGTCGTTCGAGAAGCGAAAATACGTAACCATCATATACATACATGGTTGACTTTACACAAATATAAAACAACTGAAGAAACGGAGGTTCCACAAACTGCTCGTAAAACTCAAGATCGCTTGTATACACGCGGAGGCAATTTATCGACAAGCAATGCCTCGACATCGGTCGAACGAGCGCGTAAACGTTATTATGCTAAAAAATTATCGGTGTTTCTAAGCAGCGACTTATGATTCTGAACTCTTTTCAAATACGCGCCCCTGAACGTTTCGCGATAAAATAGCCTCCGTTGAACAAGCAGATTGATGACAAGCAATCTTCGTCGGAATAATTTTCTCGCGAGATTTAGATTTTTTTTTTAGCGCCGAGTTCTTTCTGGAGAATGAGATTAACAGACTGCGGACTTTCATGCAAATTTATAGCTTTAGATATGTAATTGAAAGATAGAACGTCGGTAGAAATTTGTTCTGCGCAATATCAGATAGCAATTTAGACGTTTGAGGCATTTTTTTTCATATTATGTGTATTCTCTGTAATTTCGTATAAATGTGTGAAAATCGGCAATCTAGAGGTTAAAAAGATTCGAAGGGGATTTTTGTCCTTTCTGTTTATAGTTTTATAGAAATTATTAGTAGCGTAAGGTTAAATATTAATTCAATGTTGTTTAAAAAATGAGATTAATATAATTTTTCTAGTGAATTTTAAAATAGTTGAATGTTTTTAAATCTTCGCCGACATGTACATTTCTCGCGAGGCTTCGAAATGTTTTTTGAAATACCTAATTTTTCTACTTCTGTAAAAATTAAAGAGGTTCAAGATTGATAAGGGTGGAGATCATGTTGTATCTATTATTTTTTCACTTCTCACGTTGATACGTTGTATCAAAAATTAATATAAATTCGTAAGAAAAATTCGAGGTAATTAATTAGAATTTCTCAATCAACGATTGTCGAAAGAATTCGCGCAATTTCATAAGTAAAGTTTGAAACAGTTAAAATTCAGGATTTCCCAAGTACCCAATCTTCATCGAAATAATATCTTTCGTCGTGAGATTACAAAAATACATATTTTTACGAGTATTGGCAGCAAGTTCTTTTCGCAAGATTCGACAAAATTGGAGATATAAATCCTTTCTGTTTATGATAAAAATTAATTTGAACCAATAAATTTTTACTCGTTACGCGCATCGTGAGTTAAATATTATTATATTTTAGCGTTTTGTGTGAAAAAAGGGAGAATTCGTATCTATGCTCTTTCCGAATTATTCAAAATAATCCATTAAAATTTAAGAAAATATTTGATACATGGTTCATTTTCATTTGAAACCTTAATTCACGCTGGCAAGCGAATCGAGGCGAACGAATTTTATTGAAAGTATTTCTTTAACGTTGAGGAAACTTCGATGTTCAAAGTTATTCAAATGTTTCTATCGCGTTGAAAGCTTGAAACGCATTGCGAGGATTTTAGCAAGTCGTATTAAATGCGATACGATAACGTTAACATTTAGAGATTTATAAAGTTATTTCGTTTTTAAATATTGATACGTCGAAGAACGTGGGGGACGTTAAATTCCCGAGAATATTTAAAACGCCTAATCACTAAGTTTCTTAAATTTTTATCATCAGATCGATATGAATCGTTCTGGTTAACTCGTTAGAAGCTTCTCTCGAAAATGAAAATTATAAGGAACGATGAAAATGTTGAAGTTTGGAAATTCCTTGATGATACGTTCACAACGACATTGTATAGCATTCTAACAATTCAATGGTTAATGGTTAATCCAAAGTTAGAAGTTCAAAGCGTCTTCGTCAAGTAAAATAATTACTACAAAGTCTTTTCGATACTTAATCGTATTTAAAACCTAGAGCGGATTTTATAACGCTTTGCAATTGAACGACTTTTTGTAATTGATAATATTTAAAAATATTGAAACGAAGCAATTGTACTTTTAATGTAGCTGCTTCGAATTGTGTTGGAGTATCAAAATAGACAATGTTTCGAGTATTATCTTCAAGTTGATTAAACGTCGTTTAATTTACTTTAGTATAATTCAATTAGCATTGCACAACGAATAGTAACGATGTTGCCTTGCATAATAGATAACAGTTGTTAACCATTTTTACAACATTCGAATTATAAAGTAGCACGTTAATTATAATAGCTTTAAAAGTTAATGTTATAGCAGCATGAATTTACATTAATATTTAATACATTTACATATTAGTATACCAAATTTATACGGATATTGATCATTTATCTGCAAATAAACCCTGTTACTGTTAATCTTCTAATAAACAATACTGTATATTATCTAGTTAATTATTTCTAAGATTAATCTATGTAAACTAGAAAATAATGTAAACACTCTTTTATAGATGGTAGATAGATATATTTGATACGTAGAAACACACAAATGGTAACATAAAAATACAATTATCGCAGCTAACTACATAGCAGTCATCTCTTTACGTTTAGATAGAACTTTGTTTTCTTATTTTATGTAAAAATGGTGCAAATTTAGTTTAATTCTAGTATCAACTCAACACTGTTCGATTATAATTTACTGCAGTTTAATTTTACGTGATTTTGTTGGCGTAATAGAAACAGAATAAAAAAAAAAAAAAGGAAGAACCTAATTAGGTAGAAACCTAAGCATGCATTTTCATCTCATATTCCCATTATCGTATACAGACATTGCATCACCGTAGCACGTTGCAACAAACTACACGCAAAGAGTTAATTGATCGCTAACAAAATAGATAAAGTAATCCGCCAGTATCTAAATGAAATAAAAATGAAAATCCAATGCTCACTCACCGATGCTTCCCTTGGGACTGTCGCTTCCGCCGACGATGGTGAATCCCAGCGACTTCTTCCCAGGACCTTTCTGAAACACCACCGTCAGAAACGTCGAGACGGTGTTCCTGGGCCTCCTTGGCAGCGTGCAGAAGTTCGAAACGCTCTGCGACCCGCTATTATTCACGCTCGCGATCGCCTTGTCCGAGGAAGTGGACCTGTTGCACTCGTTCCTCCTGTCTCTCTGATGAAGCTTCGTCTGATGCTTCCTGAAGTGGGTGCCGGGCGAATTCTCCATTACAACACCGTGGCCATTCTCCACGTGAACGTTCTCGTAGTCCACGCTGCTCTCCGTCAGCTTCTTCGGCGAGGATTGGTCCACGGCGGTGTATCTCGAGACGACGATGTCCACGTCGCCAGGCGCGTTCCCACTTCCAAGGATCTTCCTAGCCTCGGCCATGCTCAGCCCTCGCAGTCTCTTGCCGTTAACTATCAGAATCTCGTCGCCTATCCTCAAGGTTCCTTCCTTATCGGCCAGACCATTGGGCACCACGTGAGCCACCAAATAACCAGGGCTGGATTCTGCCGTTTTCGCGATGAAAATGCCCAGACACTGGTCGGAACTCTGCCTGGGAAGTTTCACCACCATAGTCTCCGTGGTGTATGGTCTGCTCCTAATTACTGGAAGCCTACCACCATGGCTCTGCGATGCCAGCGAACCTTTGTCGTCCAACCTCTCGATAACAGCTTCCTTCTCCTCGCCAGACTTGGAACCACCGCGATCCCGTCGATCTATCAGCTCGTTGTTCGCCGCTTGACAGATACGAGTCGAAGAATCGTCGAGGGCGTTCAATCTGAACGCGTTCCTCCTGCACCCTCTGCCCTCGTTTCTGCTACAGTAGATGTCCAGGCTGGAGAACAATCTCGCAGTTCTCTCCACGTCGGCAGCAGACGAGGAAGGTTTCCTCGGTGGTAACTGGGGCGGACAGTTTAGGGACGAGTCATTGGGGCCATTCAACAAGCCAGAAGCGCTGCTGCTGCACCTGTCGTCGAGCAAAGAGCTGGTCGCGGAGTCGTTGTCCAGGATGCCAGAGTCGTTGTCGTCCTGGTCTTGCTCCTCGTAAAGGGGATTCGTTCGGAGCTCCTCGAGGCCCGGCAGAGCACCGTACGAGAAACTTCTCAGTCTCCGTCTCTCCCTGTCCTTGCCCTCCTTCTTGTAGATCTTCGCTATTATCTTGCTGGTGGAGCTCTTCAAGTATCTGTCCTGCATCGCTCGGAACTTCGCGGCCAAACAGCTGGATGGTGTTATGCTGTCGAACTGGGAACCGTCTTTGAAAGCTGGCTCCTCGGTGCTGGCTCTACCTTCCAGAACGTGATCCATCGATCGTCTAGGCGTTTGATGGCCCTGAATCAACTCCCTGCCCTTTCGCCACTTGCGATTCTGTTGATCAATGGTCTCCTCGATCACGTTCTTGGGCGAGTCAGCCGCTGTTTGGATGCCAGCGGACGGTCGGAATCCTAGGAAAGAGAAACGTTCCTCTTGCTGAGGCAGTCTTCGACGAGGCAGCCTGCTCTGCGACTTCGAACGTCGTTTCCTCTTCGCTTGAATCTTCTCTTCCTCGATGATCTCCTTCAAGTCCGACTCGCAGACGGACCTGCGAAATTCGTTTCTCATCAGGCCACGTTGGTTCAACTCGCACATGGAGCGGAACTGCGGCTTCTCCGGATCCTCGTCATCTTCCTTGCCCTCGTCGTCCGAGTCGCGGTCCTTGAAGAAGCTGAGCCGCGTGTTTTTCACGCGATCCAGAAGCGGGTTCCGTTTCTCGCAGACTCGCCTCTCCTTTTGGATTCGTTTCTTGTTCTTCTTCGTGGGACTCCGCTCGGTGGTCACTTGCGACGTCTGCACGTTGTAGCAGTTGCGCTCCGACTCGGAGCTCGACGACTTCCGGCGAGCCCATCGCACCGGAGACAAATCTACGAACGCAGACTCGATTAAGAATTACGAAAAACACTCGATTTACAAGTATCAAATGCACCTTGAGTTAACGATTGTTGCACAACGTTTACGTGTACAAAACATTGTTTAAATCAAGAAGTGCTCAGAATTAATATTCCGGGATTGAAAATTATGAATTCGTGAATTTGAAATACGTTCTTTAATCAACAGTCGTTCGATTTCTGAATGTAAAGAATGTTCTTAATTAACAATTATAAATCGCACAGTTTGTGAATATTAAAAATATTGAAAATCGAAGCTTATGAATTATTCAGTTGATGAATATGAAAGTATCGATATTTATTGACGCTTGGGAACAAAATTATATGGGTTCTTTATTTCGAAAGTGTTTTCAGATAAAGTTATTCAGAATTCTTTATATCGCATACTTTCGATGAAAGTGACACAATTTGAAAATAAACGCTGTGACCGAAAATATTGCAATAGCGTGTCTTTCGTATAATTCAGAGAGAAATTGATATTAGTGATATTACTATAATTCAATATTAACATTATTTCTTATTATCAGCTACTATTTAGCTGGTTTTCAATTTGTTTCGAATTCTTGATTATAAATGCATCTTCTCATGAATTGCATCAATGTGAATAAATGTATGTCGTTTCCTCTTCACAAAGATTAACAAATTAAATTATGGTTATATTGAGAAACAAGTTTTCGCTTGTCGTTTTCTGGTGTCACTTACGTCGCAAGTGTGCTATAATCACGCTTTGCTATATTCACAACGTCTACTGAAATGTTTGTCAGTGCTATTTGCACGTCGATTTCATCACTACGAGTCTGACTTTCCTTTAAAAAATCCTCATCTTAAGACTTTGAACGATAAATGTACAGGTTGTTTAAAATATCTGTAATTGCTGTATTCGAATCGTTAATAAATCACACAGCTACCTAAACCAACCATGACACATTTACTAAACAAAAGAAACCTGTGAAAATGTAATATCCAATTGGCAATTTTTCTTTTTCTTTTTATCAGAAAACAGAGTAAATTACTTGGAATGTATAAAAAGTATCATAGGATTACAACTTAATGCTAGACCAATGTAAAGTTGTTTCTTAGAAATGCTAATTTAATCGTTAGAAAAATAATCTTATTTAAAGAACTCGTAACTAGACTGCGGATTTTTATGCAAATTTTTGAGAATATAATTAAATTCTATTAAATGTGGCACTGAAAAAGAATATAATTTAAATAGTATTAAATGTAGCACTAAACAGTACAGTATACTGCAAAGAATAGAAAGAAATATATAAACTATCCAAATTATTTTCCTAAATAAAAACATAAAAATCCACAGTTCACTTTAAACATAAAACCATATTTCACACTGTAAAGAATCACTTATTAACCAGTCACAAAGATAACTCTCCGTCAGTTCACAACGTCTCAATCACTTCACAGACTAACTAATCGAAACAAAAGAGCATAAAAATTCATTCGATAAAAAAAAACAGTTCAAAGTCCACCTAACAGATTAAACGACAATGGAAATTACATTTGAAAAATTTCTGGATGTTGACGATCTTTTCCGAATCGTCCACGTACAACTGATTATCGCAGCAGACGTTAGTCATCCTTTTAAGGAAACGATCTTTGCTCGGCGAGCAGAAAACGCGTTACGAGTCGAAACCTTCGTTCGACTGTGACAGTCACGACGAAAATGATTCGCCTTCTGCGAAGCATGACACTATATGACGCAGAGTTAAGACGTCGTGCGGAAGGCAGGACATCCCGTATGAGCAACACACGTGAACACTCTGCTCGAGTGATAGTAAAAATAGTCGCACGAATTGAAATGAACGGAGGAAGCGAAGGATGAATGGTCGGAAGTGACGAATTTTCGACGAAGCGTGTCGATAGTTTCTTTACCCTTATTTCATTCAAAGTTCAATAAACGTAACTTTGATACAAATTGCGCTGGTAGAATTATTGTAGAGTTGTTCTGTAACATTAAAGTTAGACATGTGTGGCTTTATTATGAAAAGCTGCAAGTGACTGCGAAATATTGTATGACTTTCCCTCGTATCTGTTGTATGATTTTAATAAACTGTTTCCCATCGATTGATTAAGTCGACGCGGTATAAATTTCGGATAAATTTCGATCGATATGGAAATAAGAGGTCAGTAGAAATCGAGCTTTCTCTGCGTACGCATCGACGCGAATTTTTGTAAGTAAATTTTCAAATAATATTTCTCAATATTCTAATTATTTAAACATTATCGAACATTTCTAATAGTTTATTCGTAACAATTATACGATAAATTCTCTTCTATAACATTCTATAACATTTTCTAAACATTATCCAACATTTCTAATAATTTATTTGTAACAATTAAATAATAAATATTCTTCTTTAACATTTCTAAGTACTATTTAAATTATCAATTAATGATTTGTAGTAATCGAGTCACTAACACATTTCTAAGAAATTTTCATTATTTGTATCGCATCATTAACGACCGAAAGATCAGAATAATGTCAATCGATGCGGAGACAAGAGGTCATTGCGAATTGAACTCTTGTATGTCGTACATCGACCAAATTTTAGATGTTTAAAAAAAATTATCAACTGTTCCGAATCACTGACGACCGAAATATATATTAACCTTAAGCAGTACGCAGAATCATTAAGAATTAAACTTTCGTCGTGTGCACATCGACCAAATTTTAGAAATTTGAAAAAAAATTATCAACTGTTCTGGTTCACTGACGACTGAAACATATGATTAACTTTGAGCGGTAACGAGGCTCATTATTAATCCAACTTCCGTCATGTCCACATCGATCAACATTTGCCAGAAAAATTTTAAATAATATATCTGCAACCATACTTTAATCTACAATTTTGACTTCAGGGATCGGTAAGTTGCATGGTGGTAAATTTCCAAAGAACCCCACAGTGTCGTTAGGGGTAGCGCCAGACTAATTGCCTCTCTAAATGCTCGAACTCCGATTTGGCACACTGACAAACCGCGGTTACATTTCACGTTATTTCTGTTACAAGGCACGATATTGAAACGTAACAATAGTTTTTTTTTCCAACAATGAAACTCTCTACAACACATGTGGACAGTTCATACTGGGTAAGTGTAGATAAGTATTCGTATGTTAACTTAGTTGTAAGTGAATTACTATGAAATCATATCTAACACTTGTGGATCATTCATGGATACTAGGTAAGTATAGGTAAGTAGACTTGCACTCGAAATTCCGAAAATTTTGAAATTTCGTTCTGTCTGCAAATATTGGTCTGTTTATTTTGGTTCCCAATGTTTATTTAAATTTTTTTGATTGTTTATTTTGGTTTCCAATGTTTATATACATTTTTTTGATGTCAACACACTTTGTTTTCAAAAATTTTCGAAAATTTTAAGTCGAGATTTCGGAAACTTTGATATTTCTCTTTGTTTGCAAACATTGGTCTGTTTATTGTGGTCCCCAATGGTTATTTACGTTTTTTTGAGTGTTTATTTTGGTTTCCAATATTTAGTTACATTTTTTTTATGTCAACACACTTTGTTTTCAAAAATTTTCGAAAATTTTCAATCGGAATTTCGGAAACTTTGAAATTTCTCTCTGTTTGCAAACACTGGTCTGTTTGTTTTGGTTCCCAATGTTTATTTACATTTTTTGAGTGTTTATTTTTGTTTCCAATGTTTATTTACATTTTTTTTGATGTCAACACCCTTTGCTTCCAAAAATTTTCGAAAATTTTCAGTCGGAATCTCGGAAACTATGAAATTTCGCTCTGTTTGCAAACATTGGTCTGTTTGTTTTGGTCCCCAATGTTTATTTACATTTTTTGAGTGTTTATTTTTGTTTCCAATGTTTATTTACATTTTTTTTGATGTCAAGACCCTTTGCTTTCAAAAATTTTCGAAAATTTTCAGTCGGAATCTCGAAAACTATGAAATTTCGCTCTGTTTGCAAACATTGGTCTGTTTATTTTGGTCCCCAATGGTTATTTACGTTTTTTTGAGTGTTTATTTTGGTTTCCAATGTTTATTTACATTTTTTTGATGTCAACACCCTTTGTTTTCCAAAATTTTCGAAAATTTTCAATCGGAATCTCGAAAATTTTGAAATTTCGCTCTGTTTGCAAACATTGGTCTGTTTGTTTTGGTCCCCAATGTTTATTTACATTTTTTGAGTGTTCATTTTTGTTTCCAATGTTTATTTACATTTTTTTTTATGTCAACACCCTTTGCTTTCAAAAATTTTCGAAAATTTTCAGTCGGAATATCGAAAACTTTGAAATTGCGCTCTGTTTGCAAACATNTGAAATTTCGCTCTGTTTGCAAACATTGGTCTGTTTGTTTTGGTCCCCAATGTTTATTTACATTTTTTGAGTGTTTATTTTTGTTTCCAATGTTTATTTACATTTTTTTTTATGTCAACACCCTTTGCTTCCAAAAATTTTCGAAAATTTTCAGTCGGAATCTCGGAAACTATGAAATTTCGCTCTGTTTGCAAACATTGGTCTGTTTGTTTTGGTCCCCAATGTTTATTTACATTTTTTGAGTGTTTATTTTTGTTTCCAATGTTTATTTACATTTTTTTTGATGTCAAGACCCTTTGCTTTCAAAAATTTTCGAAAATTTTCAGTCGGAATCTCGAAAACTATGAAATTTCGCTCTGTTTGCAAACATTGGTCTGTTTATTTTGGTCCCCAATGGTTATTTACGTTTTTTTGAGTGTTTATTTTGGTTTCCAATGTTTATTTACATTTTTTTGATGTCAACACCCTTTGTTTTCCAAAATTTTCGAAAATTTTCAGTCGGAATCTCGAAAATTTTGAAATTTCGCTCTGTTTGCAAACATTGGTCTGTTTGTTTTGGTCCCCAATGTTTATTTACATTTTTTGAGTGTTCATTTTTGTTTCCAATGTTTATTTACATTTTTTTTTATGTCAACACCCTTTGCTTTCAAAAATTTTCGAAAATTTTCAGTCGGAATATCGAAAACTTTGAAATTGCGCTCTGTTTGCAAACATTGGTCTGTTTGTTTTGGTTCCCAATGTTTATTTACATTTTTTTGACTGTTTATTTTTGTCTCCAATGTTTATTTACATTTTTTTGATGTCAAGACCCTTTGCTTTCAAAAATTTTCGAAAATTTTCATTCGGAATCTCGAAAACTATGAAATTTCGCTCTGTTTGCAAACATTGGTCTGTTTATTTTGGTCCCCAATGGTTATTTACGTTTTTTTGAGTGTTTATTTTGGTTTCCAATGTTTATTTACATTTTTTTGATGTCAACACCCTTTGTTTTCCAAAATTTTCGAAAATTTTCAGTCGGAATCTCGAAAATTTTGAAATTTCGCTCTGTTTGCAAACATTGGTCTGTTTGTTTTGGTCCCCAATGTTTATTTACATTTTTTGAGTGTTTATTTTTGTTTCCAATGTTTATTTACATTTTTTTTTATGTCAACACCCTTTGCTTTCAAAAATTTTCGAAAATTTTCAGTCGGAATATCGAAAACTTTGAAATTGCGCTCTGTTTGCAAACATCGGTCTGTTTGTTTTGGTTCCCAATGTTTATTTACATTTTTTTGACTGTTTATTTTGGTCTCCAATGTTTATTTACATTTTTTTGATGTCAAGACCCTTTGCTTTCAAAAATTTTCGAAAATTTTCAGTCGGAATCTCGAAAACTATGAAATTTCGCTCTGTTTGCAAACATTGGTCTGTTTATTTTGGTCCCCAATGGTTATTTACGTTTTTTTGACTGTTTATTTTGGTCTCCAATGTTTATTTACATTTTTTTGATGTCAAGACCCTTTGCTTTCAAAAATTTTCGAAAATTTTCAGTCGGAATCTCGAAAACTATGAAATTTCGCTCTGTTTGCAAACATTGGTCTGTTTATTTTGGTCCCCAATGTTTATTTACATTTTTTTGACTGTTTATTTTGGTCTCCAATGTTTATTTACTTTTTTTTGATGTCAAGACCGTTTGCTTTCAAAAATTTTCGAAAATTTTCAGTCGGAATCTCGAAAACTATGAAATTTCGCTCTGTTTGCAAACATTGGTCTGTTTATTTTGGTCCCCAATGTTTATTTACATTTTTTTGACTGTTTATTTTGGTCTCCAATGTTTATTTACTTTTTTTTGATGTCAAGACCGTTTGCTTTCAAAAATTTTCGAAAATTTTCAGTCGGAATCTCGAAAACTATGAAATTTCGCTCTGTTTGCAAACATTGGTCTGTTTATTTTGGTCCCCAATGTTTATTTACATTTTTTTGACTGTTTATTTTGGTCTCCAATGTTTATTTACTTTTTTTTGATGTCAAGACCGTTTGCTTTCAAAAATTTTCGAAAATTTTCAGTCGGAATCTCGAAAACTATGAAATTTCGCTCTGTTTGCAAACATTGGTCTGTTTATTTTGGTCCCCAATGGTTATTTACGTTTTTTTGACTGTTTATTTTGGTCTCCAATGTTTATTTACATTTTTTTGATGTCAAGACCCTTTGCTTTCAAAAATTTTCGAAAATTTTCAGTCGGAATCTCGAAAACTATGAAATTTCGCTCTGTTTGCAAACATTGGTCTGTTTATTTTGGTCCCCAATGTTTATTTACATTTTTTTGACTGTTTATTTTGGTCTCCAATGTTTATTTACTTTTTTTTGATGTCAAGACCGTTTGCTTTCAAAAATTTTCGAAAATTTTCAGTCGGAATCTCGAAAACTATGAAATTTCGCTCTGTTTGCAAACATTGGTCTGTTTATTTTGGTCCCCAATGGTTATTTACGTTTTTTTGAGTGTTTATTTTGGTTTCCAATGTTTATTTACATTTTTTTGATGTCAACACACTTTGTTTTCAAAATTTTCAGTCGGAATCTCGAAAAATTTGAAGTTTAGCTTTGTTTGAAAACATTGGTCTGTTTATTTCGGGTCCCAATGTTTATTTACATTTTTTGGATGTAATGAAACACAGCTTGTTTTCAAAAATTTGGGAGTGAAGTTTCGAAAATTCTGTAATTTTGTTACAACAGATATACTTATGATGGGAACAATTTCGTAATATATATTAAATTGCACAGATGTTCGGAGCCGGTAAATTTTTCTCTCTGGGATGAAATGCCAGAGTGTGTAAGTTTAGCGGATTGCAGGAAGTACTACAGGCTTCACTGGATATCTATATTTCTCGAGTATCGACTATAATAATAGAGTGCGGAGCTAAGAGTTGCACGGCGAATAGGCCCTCGAGTTGTTCGACGGCGGATGAAGAAAGCGTTTCGTAAGGAAAGAAAGAAGAGATCAATTTTGCGGTAAACGTAACACGACGAACAGCCAGAAATGGAAAGAACAACGTTTTCACTCGCAATAGCGAGCGACGACTTGATGAAATTGAAATCCTAGATATATATACGTACATGGAAATACAGAAAAATGCAATTTAACTATATGGATCTTTATGTTAATTCACGTACTTATATAAATGTAGTTAAAAAAACTGGAATCTAATTTAGAAAACAGAAAGTTGAAATTTACATAATCTTACTTTATTTACATATATCGCGTACTGCGTTCTGCAGATTTTATCTTGTCTTTATATTGCTTCACTCATTACAAAAATATCTGCAAAATTTGTTGAATTACTTTATTTTTATATGTTAATTCCTTTTGTTATATTCCATTTATATCGTCACGACTGCATAACAATAGGAGTTTATCCTATCGATAAACTAAATAAACTAAAATAAAAGTAATTTATTTTACTCGATTTGATTATCATAAACGTAGTTACACAAACACACGGTGGATATATGAGAATGAGAAGAAATCGGTGAAATATTCAATAATGTATTCTTTGATACGACAGAAACTAGGATACACGAAAATTCGAGTATTTTCTTTTGAAACAGGTACGCGGAGAATGGAGAAAGAATATCCGCATACTTTTAAATGGCAGTGTAAACTGTTCAGACTGACTATAATGCATTACATGAGATTCGAAAACCATGACTTCGTGCCACGAGATTTTTCCGGCATTTTCTCAACGGCGGCCGATTTAAATGATTTGCAGTTTTCCTCTCCGCCCGCAGACAACACAGCATTACGAAATCCTTAACTACCTGTCGTTTTTACCACGAGGAAACCCGTTAACGTCTACGTAACGTGGCCAGAGTTGATGTCGGCCAGTAATGCCACGCGGTTTTTATCTGCCGTACGAGACTGACTTGGCAAAATACAATCTCACAACTTTCTTACAATCGAGCAGAGAAGGTCGCTTGATTCTGTAGAAAGTCCTGCATTGTGACAGCGTGTGACAGCGAACGATGCGGTTTCGGCTGCCAAAATTAACGAGACTGCCGGAGGAATGATAACAGGTTGACCGTGCATCACCGCCGAAAACCACAATGATGTTGTCACAGAAACGTTGTCACGTTAACTAACACGTTGTGGTTTTCCGGTAATGGCGTTCGTTTGTCAGTTACGTAAATGTACACCGAGACTAACAACCTTACTGCATTTACGCGAAAGAATGCGCTTATCTACTAATCTCGTCATTATTTCGCAATTACTTGCATTCTTGCTTGAGGTCTTTGTATAATCTTGTGTCAGATCGGTGCATGAGTAACGTCGCGTGCTTGAAGTTGAAATTTTGAAAAAGACAGTGCCATCGCGTTACAAATTTGCAACGTTTCACACGTGTCATTGAATCTAAACGACTTGAAAAATATTTAAAATCAATGATAAATTGAATTTTAAATATAATACACCGACAATTGTACTCAGCGTAAAAAATGAACGGTCAATTAATTTTTGGAATTTTTCAGACGACATTTCTTTTCGACTGTACTATAGTACTTAGAACTTCAAAAATGTGAAATTTAATTTAATCACGGTACAATGTCATTTAAGAGATTCTAAAACTTAATTGTTGCAGCATAATTTCGTGATGAAATCAAACAATAAATTAGAATTATTATCGGGAACAGTTACAAATGCAAGATTATTATTTTTTTTTTTTTTCTTCATACGTACTGAATAAAGAAAGTCTTATGTGTCGTGCTGACACGTTACAAATCTCCATCACTGAAAGTACCATACCGATTTATTTATTTCAAAAAAATCCTTCGAGCGACAGATACTTCCAACTATAGTAAGATTCGTAAGATTCACAGTAGCAATTTCCAACTTCTGTGTGACGAATATTTTTATATAATATCGGGTTATTAGGCACGTTTTGCAGCACATCGAGCGTGAGGTTGCTGAGTTCATCGTGGCGAACGAGGTAAATCTCGCCTCTTTCGTAGTCGACTGCAGGCTGGCTTCGCAAAAACAGACTCTCACGATGATAGCTAGACTATGCAATGTGTTTTCTTCGCTTTCGAAAGCGGTTTTAATGAAACGACACGCGAAGTATCATCGACGGAGACGTGTACGAGAGTTAAATTATTCATGCATCATTCGTATAAAGTAATAAATATTTTGTAACTGGACCACGTCATGTTTGTTCGTTTATGAGAAACTGAAAATTACAAAAATGCATGCATTGCACGTAGCATGTAGAAATATATAAAATATATATCGAAAGTGGAATATTTTATTAGGGTCTATACAATAATAGATGAGACAAATCTTTATTCAGGTTTATAAAAATTTTAAAATTCATGAAAATCCCCCAATCTGGTAATCTAGATTGATATTCCACATACTGTAATAGTTATTTCGATAATTTGTTAATTAAAAATTTGTACATCTTTGGATCTGAAGCGAAGCGAGAGGAACACATGGTAGCCGTATTGGTTGAAAGTTACGTTCGATTTCGAGATGCAATCAGCCGTTAATTAACTTCAGAATGATTGTAATTCGCGTTACGAAAGTTCACGACGCATCCTGGTCTTGACAGTGTGTGGTAATTGTATCGGTGGTTTCTCACGATTCTTACCTCTGTACTGAGACGCGGCATGAAAGTGGTAAGACGCTCCGTCAAGGTCTTCGTCAACTTGAAGAGGACTTAAGCTTAGAAGTCTTGGCGCCTCGGCGTGGCCACGAAACCAACGCATTTCTGAAACAATAAATAAAATTTCTACAATATCTATACCTAGATAACTGGATACAAATAATTAAAGTAATATACACTGCATAGTTGAATTGAAAAAACAAGTTGAGAAAGAAGAGATACAATTTTCTCGTTTAGTCGAAGAACTTCGTTCTTAAAAAAAAAGAAAAGTCGAGTTTGAAAATTTGTCAATTTGCCAATCGAGATTTAACATAAAATTCAATAGTTTCGAACAGAACTTATTAATCAATGAAACTATTATTCATTAGTGAAACTGTAGAAGCAGTCCGAGCAACAAAAATAGGTTAGTTTTTGCTGTAATAGGAAAAAAATTTCTTGTTTCTCCGTTACGAAATCCGTCTTAATCGGCGCACGATAGTTTTCTCTTGCGCAGGTTCTAGCAAAGGATTGAAAATCGAATCGGCAGATATAAATACGAGGCAACAACGAATCTCGGTCGATTGCTAATAATTCATAAAAGTGAAACGGTTACACTTGCGGCAAATTGGATTTCGCATGAACGAGCGGTGACAGTTTCCGCTGTGTTCGCTGAACCGAGGTCTTTTCTTTCCACATCGGCAGCTGCACTTGTTACCGACGCTGTATACCGCGTAAAAAAACATTTGACGAACGAGCAACCTTGGCAAGGAATGGAGGATGTTATAAATTATCAACTTACGGTTCAATCCTCAGACATTCTGATACCGGACTCTGGCATGCACAAAACGGTATCAAGATCATATTTAGATCCTATTAATTTTTCTTCCACATAACCGGAAACAAATTTCTACGAATTAAATTTCATTGAAATTATTCTATTATTATTACTATTTAATTTCAATCAAATGTTTCACTTATTTCAATTTTTATAATAAATTTCAAACGGTATCAAGATCATATTTAGATCCTATTAATTTTTCTTCCACATAACCGGAAACAAATTTCTACGAATTAAATTTCATTGAAATTATTCTATTATTATTACTATTTAATTTCAATCAAATGTTTCACTTATTTCAATTTTTATAATAAATTTCAAACGGTATCAAGATCATATTTAGATCCTATTAATTTTTCTTCCACATAACCGGAAACAAATTTCTACGAATTAAATTTCATTGAAATTATTCTATTATTATTACTATTTAATTTCAATCAAATGTTTCACTTATTTCAATTTTTATAATAAATTTCAAACGGTATCAAGATCATATTTAGATCCTATTAATTTTTCTTCCACGTAACCGGAAGCAAATTTCTACGAATTAAATTTCATACAAATTATTTTATTATTATTACTATTTAATTCCAATCAAACGTTTCATTTATTTCAATTTTTATAATAAATTTCATTAATCAAATTATTTCATTATGTACATAGTTCTCAAGCCACACTATTAATTGTTATAGTTTGACAGATTTGTTTGGATACCTACTAATAGCATATAATTGTCACGGATTCTGAACATGAAATATCACTTTTCTTCTTACGGTACCACTAATTTTATTTTCAAAAACGACAAAGTGGGACACGAATGCTCGGTCAAATCAGACCGAGATATACTCAAGCGGATCGAAGCCATTATGCTAACGGATCTGATGCAAATTAATTAGCAAATAATGTTAATTCTCATCTGTTCGACTGGAATAATTAATTTTCGCTTGTCAAGAGACCTTGACTCTTGTTAAAACGGTTCACGCTACGACGATTACACGTAATTGCACGATTACGTGATATTTCGTAGCATCGTTGTATCATGGATTCATTTCGATCCTTTTTAAAACTTACACAAATACTTATCCACTTCGTTAAATTATTTTTTACTTATCATTATACTGTAGTAAAATATTATTATTATTTTAAGAATAATATTATTTTGATACTTACGTATACTTTCAAATTTTCCCTAAATGTATAAAAATCCATAATTTATTTATCATTTTAATAATTTCGACTTTAGATCCCAGCTGCTTGTGCATTAAATCACTGCATATGAAATGACCAAAACCTTAATAAAAAGTTTAAAGTTTATGTACATCTTCTTGAAAATAGTGTTGATCGTATTGATATATTTTGATTACTATGAAACGTTATAACTATTAATGTTATAACTATTAATCTCAAAATCTTTAGATGCTCATTGTCAACCATTTCTCATTCCATTTTCAGTTTGTACTGTCCAATCTAACTTTTTCATATATATTATCTTATTAGTACTGAATCTCGTTATTCAAATTTATATTAATATTACAAACAACGTTTAAACTAAAATTTGAAATAACTTTATTTGTTTTAATACATAATTCATCCTTTTATGACAAAACACGATGGCATTGAAGACACGAAGATATTGTGTATGACCAGCTTCAAGTTTTAAATCATTCAATCAACAAATGTTACTTAACAGCTCTTTTAATTACCAAATTATGAATAATATTACACGCTCGTGAAATCGTCCGTTTCAATTGCAACAATCTGATATTTACTCATCCGTAGCTCGTAGGAGCCTATTAAACATTATCTAATCGATCGTATAACCCAGAAATTATTCCAGCGAGTCATTGTGCCGCGTATTGCGGGCATTGAAGTCTCCATTCTAGTATCGTGGCGCCAATGCACAGATGGAGCAATATACTACATAAAAAGTATGAAGAATGAAATAGAATATTCGTCTAACTGCTGTCTGTTTCTTTCATTGAAAAATTCTCTCCGTGGTTAAAGATTTGGCTCAATAATGTATCTCGCGACATAAAAATGCATCTGGAACAACATTTCGCTAGCATGTCGCAGAAATTTTGGAACGATGGTATTACGAGATTTTCAGAGGGAAAGGTAATAGATCAGAATTGATTAAACGAAAAAAACTTTCGAGATAATCTAATACATATGTATATCAGCCATTTATTTTGAAAGTGGCCCAAGTCCATTTATTTTTAAATCGATATATTTAACAGTTTGCGTTTTAATAAATTGAATATTAGTAACATGGTAATAATATAATGTTTTTGTGTTTCTAAATGTATAATTGACCCAACCCAATTAGTATGATACACATTGTTTAGAAAATGATTTTTGATGGCTATAAATGGGACTTGAGCCATTCAAAAAAAAAATTTTTATCATTTCATTAACCAGCTAATTTTCTGTGTACGAAATCTAGTAATTTTAAATATATTAGGTACGATTTGTTTAAAAATGAAAAGACAACGTAGAAACGTAAATATTGAAACAGCTAGCTTGATTTTTTTTTTTGGAAAATGGAACTTAGGCCACGTTCACGTCTGACGCGATGTCAAATTACATTGTAGACAGTAACTAATGCTTATCTAAGAAAATTAAAAAAAAAAAATCGTAAGGCAATGTTAATCTAATGTAGTACAAATAGACGGTGAATCTTCATATTTTTTGTGAAGATGATTCAATTCAAATCTAACTCAAATCTAGATAGGCAGAATACGTTGATATAGAGATTATTCAAAAGTAGAAGAAAAAATGAATACTGAAATATCTCGTAGAAATCTTGCATTGCCTATATTAGGTACCGTTGCGGACAACTGTCCAGGATAGAATCATCCTTTTTCCACTAATAGAAACATCACTCGATCCTTCGTCATTCTTTGTCAGACGGAATACTCACGGAGGCGTTACTGTTCATCTGCTTCTCGTAGAAACCGTAATTTAGCCACCTCGTACTCGTCGAAACGAACCCAAGAACATAATAACTTCTGCTTTAACGGTTCGCCTCGTCCTTCATGGCGAATCACGCTTTTCCCGCGTGATAGTCCTCGCTCAGTGGAACGATAGATTTTTTGAGCAATTATTTTGTCACGAAGAAATCGGTCATTGGGAGCATCGTTATCACTTATTTGTTATTTCTTATTGTGAGTACAGTTCGTGATTAAAATTAGCAATAATTCCTTGCGTCCTTTTATTTTTCCTTGAACACAATTTTCTTTGGATACATATTATCCAAGTTAATTAACTGCATAAATGCTTGTTACTTAGAGCTAGATTATTTGTTTGAAGAGACTCGATTTGAAAAATTACTTATGGTAATGTAATTTTATTTTGTTATGAGTAAACTGTGGCTGTTCATACCTTACAAAATATATGAAGCATGTTTAAAATAAAGTACTTGTTACAGTATTCAATAAATGCAAAAAATTTCTGTCTAGAATCCAAAGGAATGTGGAGTTTTGAATTTAATATTTTGCCATTCTTACGTGTGCTCTTTATTACTTTCAAAAGTAATTATAACTAAATCGAGGTGTACAAGTTGTGACATTACAGAGAAATGTCAAAATGTTTCCGTCTGTTTCTTCAGTTACATTCATGAAAGTATAAAATTGCATAAATACACGTATAGTTATGAAAATCGCGTGCCATTGTTTGCATTATTACAAAGGATTCGAAGGAAAATGTAAAAGCGTGGAATCGTGAATAGAATGAAACGATTCGTTGCACGTATGGAATTTGAAAAAGTATAAAACGCTAGTCATATCGTCCAATCTATACTTTCATGAATAACGAAACATTCAGGCAACCAATGACCTTCCGTTTTTTAATAACGAAATGTAAAACTTGCTATTAAAAGTTTCATCGCGATGTGAAAATTTTCACCACGCGGCACTTTAATAATAAAAGAACTAAAGAGAGGTAGAATTTCTTATTTTCATCTAGCATGCGAGAAACAACGATACTTCGTAAGATTGGAATAGAAAACTCACGCCAAGAGTTATAAAAAAATATGAGAGAAATCATTTAACGATGATATAATAAAAATGCTGTAGATAATCTCTGGACGTAAGGAGTTGAACTTAATTGTTATATTCTATTACCAGCGTCTCGATTTCGCTAGATTTTCCGCGAATGCGAGCGTGAAAAAGCGTCGGCCGTGACGCGGTAAATCCCGTTTCCACGGTCGCATAATGGGATGATTAATACCGCGAGTTATGCAAGGTGTTAATGCATCGATTATATACACGCAGCTACGAGGCAACCGTGA